TAGGGTTAATAAAAAATATTTATTTAGTTGTGGTTAAAATTAAATAATAAATTATATATTTATTTAATTTTGGTTAAAAAATGAAAAAATAAATATGTAGATATTATTAATTGTATTTAGTAGATTTAATAAATTGTACGCTTAAGATGTATAGTAGATAATTTTATAATTACGTATTTAAATAATATAAAACTGTATTAAACTAATTAATCTAAGTTACGTGTAAAATTTGAAACTTTTGTGGGATGAGATATCGCCTCTTGAGGGATCTGGACATCGGCATGCAGTTACGCGCAATCTGTATGCCGAACATCGAGCAAAAAAAGAAAAAAAGTTAAAGAAAGTGAAAAATGTACATCCTACGTTTGGCCCACTTGGTGAGTCAGCCAACGTAGACGATGATGATGATGATGATGATGATGATTTTGAGGGAGAGGAATCAGCAGAGGATAGTTTTGAGAGTGGGGGGACGATGTGGGTGAGGAGGATGACACATCCGAGTATTCCTCGCATGAGAGGAGGGATATACAGATTGCAGATAACTCAGTACTGAACCCCATTGGTCGTACTGTTAATCAGACTCCAGTTCACCCTACCCGGGGGGGGGAGGAAGTCCCTTGTGGGATTATCGCCCCAATTCGACTTACACTCCTGGTGGTTCCGGTGTTCGTGTCGGCCCACAGTACTCTTTTTAGAGGTCGAGTACTACTCTTCAAAGATGCAGCCCGCCGAGTACTCTTTTAGAGGTCCCTCTCGACTACTCAGCCTCGTTCCCGTATTGGTGGCGCATCCATTGGTGCCTCTATCCGTCCTGAGGCAGCTGCATCGTCATCAGGTACGTATTTGTAACAATTTCAGCATTCATTACTGCTTGGTCAATTTCTTAATTGCATGCGATTAAGTATTTATACATTATTCTTTATTCGGGTTGCAGGTACTAGCAGACGGTCTAAGGTTTCTACCGAAGAAACTAATGATTGGGTTGTGACAGACGATGTACCTGGCGGGCCATGTGATGGGTCAGTGATTCCTAGTTTTCTTGGCCACACTATCACGATCATGCAGCCAACTGGGGTGAATGGGGGGAATCGGAAAATCACCCTGCAGATTGAGTCGAATGAAATGCGGGTAAGGCTCAAGGTGGCAAATAACTATCTGGAACTTTGGCCTTGTTGCCCCGCCCCGTGCGCTCAGTGGTAGCACAGTCCAACATGTGCCGTTTCGATTTTCAGCACCGTTGGTTCTGAAGTAGTACACAACAGCATTGAAATATGTAGCAAGGGGATAAAAGTCCTCTGTCGACATCCAGTGACCTGCGGAGGTACCAGTCCACCGTATACGCTCTAGGCTTGTAGGTAATTTTTCCCACCTACAAAGACAAGTAAATGAAGGTTTTAAATAAAATAACATTGATGCAACTGTATGAAAACCGCTCACCAAAATTAAACTGGCTTCATACCCGTAAAGGTTCCCGTACAGGCCAGGGTTATTTATAACCTCATCATAACATATCTGTCTGCACAAAATTTGATTATCCTGCCCTCCCAACATGCAACTTGCAAAGACGCGGAAACCACAATTTCCGTCAGCCTCGACATCAAGATATGACACAACATGATTGTGGAGTACCAGCGGAATCTTATTCTTGTGCCTAAACTGGAAAAAGTCTGTCTGCATCACATCTTTAACCACGTAAAATAATATCATTATTTCTGAAGTACATATCAGTATTTAAGAACAAAATAAATTATAAACGTACCTCCGACATGGGGTTCGGAACCCGACTTGTAGCCTTTACTGGAACTGCTGGTGTTCGTCTCACCTTGCCCAGTCCATGTACCTACTCTCGCATGGGTCAGTAACAAAAGTGCTTCCAGTAAACCAAGTAAAATAATATTTTGCACATTTAAAAAGAGAAAGTAATATCGGACCTCTGCTCTGATCTTCAGCTTCCAATGTATGGCCTCTACTGGAACTGTGGGTGTTCGTCCCACCTTTACCCGAGGTACCTTGGCTCGTACCTGCTTTACTGGAACCGCTGGTATTGGTGCCACCCTGATTGCCGTCCCTGTATGCCCACACATTTGGTTTGTCTTGCTTTTTTTAGAGATGCCCCTCTTCTTCGACCTGCCCTTGCCTCTCTTTCCAACCCGCGGTTCATTTAATCCGGCTTGGCCTGGGTGAAGTTTGTTGTACATCAATCTGGTGATCTCGCGCTATATTGGCTCCTTAGCAGCGTCTAATTCTTCCACTAACTGCCTGAACAACAATCTGTGAGGGGAAACCTCATCCAAACCATCCTTCTCTGTAACCTCACCGATGTCAAGTGTGCTCCAAAATTGGTGTAAGTATTTTGGAGTCAAAATCTCGCTGGTCTCCATTATACGCTTAAGTATACATGCACAAGGGGGGGAATGAGTTTGTTTCAGGTAATGATTGCATTCCCAATACACATCATCTCCGAGTTGTTGCATCCTTTCCAACTCATTGTTCAATAGATCCAAGCAGTAGTGTGAAACATTGCATCTTAATTGGTAGAAAGGGTACTTGTTGTGTTGCCTCCCTATTTTCTCCCTTGATTCTTGCAATTTCTCCCTGTGGAGGAATTCTAACAAATTAATTAAATAACCTAAATACACAAATTAACTAAAAAGGGGATCAAAATCCAATACCTTATTTGCGTAAGCTGTGTCTCCAGTAACATGTGAACCCTGTGCCACACCGTTTCAAAAGAAGCATTTGGAATGCCGAGCCATTCCTTTAACAACTTGTGTGCTCTCTCCACTCTACAAGTAGTGGTGTTGCCAAAATGCAAATAAGTGTTGGTCCATGCATGCACAAACTTGTGCGCCACCACTAACCATGTCTTCCTAACATACTCTAGAACGGGCTGAAATTGAGACCAATTATGCTCCAGAAACTGTACTTTTTCTTCGTATACTTCCCGATTTGCAGCTTCGATCACTGCTTTGAAGGCAGTATATGCAAAGCTTTTTGCTACATGGGCATTTCCATTCAAAATTCTTTTCACATTTCTTTCAACATCCCTGTAAACATGCCACGTACACAACAAGTGATGTGAGGATGGAAAAACATCATCAAGAGGCCTCATCAGTCCAGGCTCCCGATCAGTCACGATGACACTCGGATGCAGATCTTCGCCATAAAAGTTACGGAGCTGCCACAGCGCCCAATGGTAGCTGTCTCCCGTCTAATCACTCAGAATAGTATATGCTATAAGGAATGTCTAATTACAAGGGGTCATTCCAACAAACTCCACAAGAGGCAGTTTATATTTGTTTGTGTTGTATGTGGAATCTACACAAACAACCCAAGGATACGTCCGCAACAGCAACAAAGAATCCGGATGTGCGAAAAACACGTGGGATAACTTCTCTGTGTCTCTTCATCGCACTCCGTGAAGATGATGTATTTGTGTTGTTCTGCGACCTCTAACACCTTTCCCACTACGTCCATGGCAGACAGGTCATCTAGAATTGGAAACCCCACCTTACGCAAAAAATTTCTGTAGGAGGTTACCTTTTCATCGGGAAATTGTGTCCATATCGCCCGTAAAATGTGGACTGCCTTAGTCCCAGCTTTGGAGTACTTCTTAATAAGCTCTTTTACTTCTTCACTCAATGGCCTCCTGACTCGAGGTGGATCTTTCAATGAATGGTTGTGCATTCCCAACGGACTTGGATATACACGGATCGCCCACCTATCATATGTCTCGTAAATAGTAACACGAAACTGGCATCCGGTCATCTGTGTCTTTGTATTGGCTCGCGCGCACGTTTCATCCACCGTTGACCTTGGTACCGCCTCCTTTATGATAAAGGAGTATAGTAGTATTATCCTTGTGCGAGGATACACTTAACTCCATATTGTAGAAGTTCGCAATACCCTTCGCATATGCGGCAGCTTCCTTCTTCGTCGCAAAAGTCTCGTCTGTAGCAAAAGCCGGACTATAATCGATTCCATCCCCGATCAAACCTATCCCGCACACATTAAAAACAAATTATATCATAACTTAAATTAACTCTAACATTGTTAAACCACAAATAATTTGCTATGAGTAAACATTGTTATATAATCCGATATAATGATCTTATACTTTAAAGATAATTAATATATACTAATAACAAATTAAAAATATTATTAATAAAAACTCATTATTTTAACAAAAATCCTAATCCCTAACACTATACCCATTAACTCGCTTAATATAACAAGATACGTAATTAAAAATATTCTCTAAATATCATAAACCTAATTAGCATAAACCCTAATTTTCTAAACAAATATTAAACTACCAAACAAATACTCAAATAAAATAAATGCATGAATTAATTAAATTTATTAAACTAATAATAATAATTATTAAACTCATAAATATAAAATATATTAAAAAATAAAAAAAATAAAAAAAATGGGTGGCGCACCAATAGGGTGGTTGGCGAGCATCCGGACAAAGGTGGCGCCAGATCTGGCGCCACCGCCTTCGCCATTGACGAAGGCTGTCTCGCCTCCCTTCACGCCACCCCCATAGGGGTGGCGCGCTTCTCCTGCGCCAGCCCTTAACGGCTGCCGCGGTCCTCCTTTGGCCCTGCCCCCCCCTCCCCCTCTTTTTCGAAAAAAAAAATTTACCTGCATTTTGCAGGGGCGTCTCGGTCTTTCGCGGGCGTTCAAATGAAAAATAAGGGCGTTCAACAGTTTGACCCTTAAGATATGGCTTCTAAAATACTGTAAGCTTTAAAAAATTATCCATAACTAATTAAATTATTACTGGCAACAATTTTCAACCTTTTAATTTTTTTTTTAAAGAAGAAAAAGAAAAAGTAGGGTGCTTTCTGTAAATTCCTGTTTCATTGTGATTTTATTTCACTTTCTGCGGGTCAATATTTCGGAAACAGCCGGAAGATCGACCAAAAATCAATTTCTCCGATCAGGAATTCTCTCGCTCTCCCTTTCTCTCTCACATACTCACGCACTAAACGATGGCCAGAGCCACCAGACAATTGACGCCGTCATCCTCTTCTGCGACGTTAACGGTAACCCTAACCCCATCATCTTCGTCATCCCAGCAACAACAGCAGCAGCAGCAGGAAGAAACGCTGGTGTTGAAATTGAAGCCGAAGAAGAAGAAGGTCTCATGGAAAGAAGGCACCGTCGACAACGAATTCCTCAACAAGAAAAGCTCCAAAAAATGTTGCATCTTCCACAAGGAAAAGCCCTTCGATGAAGATGACAGCGAGGACGAGGATGGAAATGGTAAATCTCCGGAGAATCGTGGGCGCGGCCATCATTGTGATCATGCCCATGGGGACGGCTGCCTTGGAGATGGTGCTAGTTCTAGTCATTGATGCCGGATTTGGTGGCGAAATCTGTAAGAGTTGTTGTTTTTCACGTTATCAATGCCCATGGAAAGAATTTGATTAGTTCTTTCTCTTGTACCGGCCCTGTTCTAAATTTTTGTTGGTATTGCTGTAATTAGTGATTGTTCTAGGACTGAGTGCGTGTAAAAGAAAATTGAGTTACCTTTACTATAGGAATGAAAAAGATATGAGATGGTTTCTCTCCTTTTACTATATTTGAATACAATATCTGATTCTGTTATAAGGTTTTATATGAATTGTTTCGTTTTGTTGGATGAGTTCATAATTTCCTGCGCAATATTTTCTTTGCATTATGAAATTCGTGCTTTTGACATTCGTTTTCTGATTTATACAACAGTGCCCTGTGTTGATTTCGTTCAGTTCACCTGTTAGCATATCATCACTCTACTAGAAATGTTGGTCTTGTATCCTAATCAAACAGTGCCCTGTGTTGATTTCGTTCAGTTCACCTGTTAGCATATCATCACTCTACTAGAAATGTTGGTCTTGTATCCTAATCAACAGTCCTTATTTATGGTGTTTGTCCAGTGGGCATTTGATCTGGAATTTATTTAGGTTTCTGGACTTGTTTATGGAGTAGGAGATTCATGCTTTTAGGTTCATGATTGATAGAAACCTGTCGCGGACTTCATTTTGGAAGTCATGGGTTTATGGAGTAGGAGATTCATTGGAAGACATGGGCTGCTCTATTTGTTTGGAATTTAAAACAACCAGGAAAAGAGGCCTCTGAAGGTTTCAGTTCATGTTAAGTAGAATATTTTGATTTAGGATGAATACAGCCAAGGGGAGATATTTACCTGTGATTTGGACAAGTAATCAATAATTTTTAGTTAGTAATTGTTCTAGGATTGTGGCGGGTTCTAATTTTTATCGGTTGTCTCTGAAGGGAGACATATGACCTTAAGGCTGGCTTATGAAGCACAAAGTGATCAGTTGGGAACTAGGAAATTTAGAACAGAAAGTGAGCATTCCTTTTTTATGTTTATCTGTGTTGATATTAATCTGATGGTCTGCTGAGTGTATATGGCCTTAACTTTCTTTCTTTTGTTCCAGCATGTTAATCATAACTTACATCTATCACAGAGCACAAACCCTCTACTCTTGAGGGCTCTGATGTATCTCCAGTCTTGATGTATTTCCATATTCATAGAAAGTCATAGTTTGTGGCTCTTATTCTGGCCATGTTATACAAAGTTAAAGGCCTCTGTGTGTTATACTTTGAAGGGAACTTTGAGTGCATTGTCTTTTTGAAAAGCCGTATAAGATTATGAAAACTAATGGTTCTAGCCATTTCTGGGTTATGCATGCAGAATTTCTTGCAAACCTATGCAAATATACCGGAATTCTATTTCTAAGTTGCTTTTTGTGGTAATCTCTTAACAAAAGAGTATCAGTGAAAGCTTGTCAGATGAGAAATTCTCTTCATCACTGAGTTACCAACGACACCTGTACAAAGTTCGTAAAAAGAAGTATGCTCTTTATATTCAAAAAGGCAACTGGGCTAAGCTTATGGTTTTGGTGTTACCTGTGTTGTTTTTCTTGATATTGGAGGTCTCATAATAGAGGACTTATTCACTGCAAGCTTTAAACTTTGATGCACATAGTGTGTTAGCATTTTATCTTCTGTCTAATTATATAGGTGTCTTGTTTTAAGAAGAGGATTTTTCAAATTAGCCCCATCTGACAGTGAAATATAAAGAAAAGTATCAAATTTGTCATTGCGATGCTTGTTTCAGCTTCAAGACGTTAATAGTTTTCACTTTCTTACTGTTTTCATCATTTACTTGTTGCCATGTTAGCTTTCGAATTCACACGAGCATATCATTTCAGAAATTGTTAATTTGCTTTGATGCGACGCTGGAAGTGCATTCTCTTTTTGCAAATCTATACTGATTTTCTTTCTTGACAGATATTGAAATTTTCATTTTGTGAATGCTTTAAGGATAATAGAGATTGTTGAACCAGTAATAAGGCATGACGCATGCATATATTCTCACTGCCTCAGAATCTATGAAAAGGGACTCTTGTAGAGTTCAAAAAACTACAGAATGTCAGTACTCATACAGGAGGAATGTAATATATCCTTTTAGGAGGCAAATCATTTATCAGTATTCTACCAGAAATCAATTCATTCTAGCCCCTCTGGTCATGCATAAGAAGTTGGTCTGAGGTTTCTTCAATTATCTATATTGAAGTGCAAAAGTGGTTGAAATTAGAAATGAAATTTTCGAAGTTTAGAGAAAACAGAGTACCTTAAAAGTACTAAACTACAAAGACATCAAAATAAAAAATTAAAACATGAATCAATCTACTACAAGCAATTGTTCATAAGTTAAAAACTTGAGGGAAACCATCAGCTTCAGAACAGACTTGTAAAGAGTCCAAATGGCTTCCTGGGAACTTTTAAAACAATACAAGGAGATTGGGAGATACATTGTCGATGCAAATCTTCTTTCGGCTAGATTGTCCATGCCTATTTTGCTGGTGAAGTCAGTGAAATCTCATTTTGTTCAAAGACCATTTACCTTCCTTCCAGGTTTTCATCAACAAACATAGGAGAAGCAACCACTACTCCAGAATCATCATTCATATCAATTAGCAGCTGTACTTCACTGCTTGTTCCTCCCAAATTGGAGTTGTGCTTTCTGTTATTTTCTTCAGGTGGATCATGAATGATCGAAGATGCATCCTGAAGTTGCAAAGAAAACTCCAAATTCCACAATACATCCCCCATAGAAGGCCTATCAACTCCGTATTCTGACAAGCATTTCTCTGCAGCTTCCACATACTTTCTCAATGATTCAGAGCCAATGGTGTCGACAATAAGTGGGTCAATGATCTTCTCTAGGAATCCTTTCCTGTTCTGTTGCATTGCCCATTCGGCTAAATTGACTTGCTCCCTTGGCAATGCTGGATCAAGAGCAGGCCTTGCACATAGCACCTCGAAAAGGACCACTCCAAAGGAGTAGACATCTGATTTCTCTGTGAGCTGTTGTCTTCTGAAATACTCGGGATCAAGATATCCAAAACTGCCTTTTACAGCTGTGCTGACATGTGTTTGCTCCAAAGAAGAGGGGCCAGCTTTGGACAAGCCAAAATCAGAAACTTTCGCAACAAAATTGTCATCCAAGAGGATGTTAGTAGTTTTAACATCACGGTGAATTATGCCTTGTGCTGCACCAGTGTGAAGATAATGCAATCCACGAGCTGCACCAATGCAGATCTCTAGGCGTTGCCTCCATGACAATGTCGGCAAATTTGACCCATAGATGTGGTCGCGAAGTGGACCATTGGCCATGTACTCATAGACCAAGATCATTTCAGATTGTTCATCACAGTATCCAATCAATGAGACAAGATGACGATGTCTGAGCTTGGAAAGCATTTCAATTTCGGTTTGAAATTCATTTATTCCCTGTGATGATGATGGATTGCCTCTTTTTATGGCAAGTTTGGTTCCATCAGCCAATTCTCCGAGGTACACTTTCCCAAAACCCCCGACACCGATAACAGCCTTCTCATCAAAATTTTTTGTTGCATCCTTTATTTCATTTAAAGTAAATTGCCTGCCTAGACCAACTCCTGCTGAAACAAAACTTGAAAAATTAGTTGTTTTGGTCTTACTTGATAAGAAACTGCAAAAGCTTGAATTGAGAGGAAGCCATGAGGCAAATGTCTTTTGTCTCTTCCAACCCTTAGGCTTCTTTTGTCTCCGTATGAAGCTGATCACGAGCAATACTAGTGCAACAATCCCCGTTGCTAAACCTATAACAGCAGCAATTTTCAGCTTATTACTTCCCATGCTTGGAGCTGCATTTGAAGAAAACAAACCATCTAAGCTTCCAGCTAAGTTGCTCAGCTTCATGATCTCCAGTCCGTTGAGTATAGCATTTGGGGAACTTTGCTGATTTAAAGTAGGACCAACCTGAACAACTATAGAATTGTTTGTAATAAAGGAGGCATTGAGTACTAGATCTTTATAGTAAGGGACAGCAAGGTCTGAAACGAGTGTTGAAAGATCAAGACTTGAAACAGCAATCATGCCGTTTACATAAACATTGAAGTAGAGCTCATTCATGACCTTGCTGACAATATCACAAAAATGAAGTCTGATCAAGTAAGAGAAACTTGGATCAACACTCATCTGCCATGTTAGGTTGAAGTTGGAGTCAGCCACACCAGAATCCACCATCTGATCAGCTGTTGCATAAATCCAAGGTGGTGCAATCAAAGGTGTGGCTCCATCATCTGGATATTCAATAATGGCAGGATCTACCGACACAGCTCTGGCACCTTGAGGGAAGGCATTGAACTGATTATCAGGCTGCCATGTCCTCCACAATGTGTCATTCCTTGGGGTCACAAATGGGCCCCCAACATTAATTCTATAAGACGTTTCAAGTGCAAATTTAGTCAAGCCACTAAAATCGGCAACAGGATAAACAGAGGTGGCTAAATCAGAAATGAGGTTGTCTGGTGCCGAAACAAACTCAATGCCGTTGATAAATGCAAAAGAATTTTTTATAGGAGAGAATTTCAGGGTGAATGCATTAGAAGAAACATTAATGAGGTACTCTTTGAATACCATTCTAGTACTATCCTTCACTGAGAAGCCATGCAACAGAACAGTACTATCAGTGCTAACTGAGAATGTGGCACTTGTTAGATTATAAGAGGGATGAGCTATGGGATAAAAGTACAGCCGTACCCAATGGCGGCCTGGGCTAAAGACCAGGAATCTATACATCGATTCATGCTCGAAAATTCTGGCAGAAAGATACAATGGAAACGATGATGAAGGAGAAGAAGATACGACATTGTTAGGCAACGAATTAACCGTAGCCAAAATGTCTTCCTCAGTGGACAAATAAGAAGCAGACTGAGGATCAGACTTGAAAGTTCTGCCATCATCTAGCCAAGTGCTTGAAGAGGATCCACAGTTGATCAGGTAGTTATCAGCAGGAGTAAATTCTGTAGGAACTGACTTAGGTCCTGCCGTTACTACATTGACACCCATGGAGGCAAAAAGAAGTAAAACCAATCCTGCAAGATGGAGGATAAGGCGGGTATCTGCTCTGGCTTTGCCAAGATTCATTGCTTGTCTTCCCATTGTTGCAATCCACCGGAGACAGTATCGACAATGCTCGGCCTCTGGCGGTGATCAATGTGTATGTTTTGGTGGGAATGAGTAGACTACATGAGGTACAATGCTAAAAGGCGATGTTCAAACTTCAAAGAGCTAAAGAAATGAAAAGGAAGAAAAATGGTGCAACTTATTTAGTCATTTTTTTGGTTTTGTGGGTTAGGACTCAAGGAAAAAATGGAATTTTGGTATTAGGAAATCTTGCAAAAAAAAAAAAAGGAATAATTAGCAACAAAGAACATTATGTGATGGGAGCGAATTTGGAAAGAACGTGCATTCCTGTAATAATTGTTTGATAAATTCTTGATTAAGCTGAAGAAGACTTTTTTTTTTTTTTCTCCTGTGTACCAAGTTTCATGATTGCTGATTCCCAAAGTAATCAGTGAGCTGTGTGTGTGTGTGTGTGTTTTAGGCGCCAATTTACACTTTTGCATTTTTCTGTTAAGTATTCTTCTCTTTTTTTAAAAAAAAAAAAAGAAAAAAGGAAGAAAAGTTTATTTGATTGAAGAACTGACTTAACGACCACATGAAGAGAAGAATAGTTCAAACGCGTATCCAGCTGGGGAAGAAATGGAATGCATAATTGAGGAGTTTGCGGTTTATATGGTTGACATTCCCACAAGATTTGCTGCTGCTTTAATAATTTAAGTTTTCCAATCAATGGGAGGATCATCATTCCACTTAGCTCCTAGAATACAATGAACAAGCCCTTAACAAGGAATATTCATATAAGGTCTTCTTCTACTCCCAAAACTTACCAGATTTTGTTAATTAAAAACGTTACAACTTCAACGATCAATGGAGAGTACGAGATTTTTGCATCTGCGTTTATTATCGTTGGTGTGTTTTTCATAGTATGTTTGCTCCAATGTGAATAGTAGTATAACACGTACAGACTTTTTGAAATCGAGGAACTATCTCATACTATCAATGAAATTCTTCTTAAATCTAAAATTTTCTCAAACTTAGTTGGGAGGTTTGGGTGGGGTGATTAGGAAACTACAATGAGGAAGGTTATTACTAAAAGGTCGAGAGTTCGATTCTCACTGGGCCATCCATTTTTTTTTAAAAAAAAAACCTAAAATCTTTTTATCTCTTTGTTTGTACTAGGGTCTGAACCCAACAAAGCAAATTCGAGAGTTGGTGAAAGCTTTTAGGTAGATTATGTGAGAACTGTAAAATTAAGTAGCTTAATGACCGGCGCAATGAGAGACGAAATATTCCTTCAGATAATAAATTGGAACACGCAGTTGTGAAGCAAGATATTAGATGTGAACAGATGCAAACCAGCTCATAAATCGTATTTGACTGGAGCAAAAAGATAAGCAGAAACCTTTATATAATAAACCAAAGCGAAAACTGGAAACCATATTCTCATTCTATGGTAGAACTTCTATAAATTAATAGTTTTAGGACCATCAAAATTTATTAATTTAGTAAATTATTAAATAATCGATAAATTAATAAATTATTAATTTAAAGAATCTGTATGAGAAAAAAACCATTACTAAATTACTTAATTCGCAGTTGTCTTTACATCCGAATCAATCAAGTATTAAAATTATTCTAAACACTTAAAACCATAAATAGTTCATATCACTTCTAGGGTTAAAAAAAATATATGTATGAATAGTTCATTTTTACTAAATATTTATAGTAATTATTTTTTTGTTGTTGTTAGTGTATTTATTAATTTATGGTATTGTTGAGACCTATACATATATTGAAAATTTTCTGAAACATTATTATCTTATCATTTTTTTTTTTCTCTTTTTGTACTAATCTCAAGTTAAGACAGGAGAAAATTATTAATTCTTAGATGTTATTAATTTTATCGATTATTAATTTACTAACGTTCTACTGTATATTGAAAACCAAGTGATACTACCTTAGACTCAAAGTTAGTTTCAGATTTTTTGAATTTTTCATGATATTAAATATACAGTAACTCCTATTTTGGAACAAAGAATAAAGTAAGTTAATAGTTTGCTAAATTCTTTAAGATATCAAAGAGAATGCCACTCTGATAAGTTTAGTCAATGAACTTTGAAAATCTACACCTTAAAGCCTGGTCTAACAACAAAATGTCAACTATAATCACAGCTTTGATAGGGTGTAAGAAGGCAATGCTATGTCATTCCTTGTATGATAATTTCCACCACATCGTGAGCTCATTTGCTAGTTTATACAAAGATGGGTTCCATTTCCATCAACAAAGTCATAGAAACCCAAAAGCAAATAGACCAACTGTTTCTTCATCACAGCAATTAGCTAGGGTCCTAATATCTTTCCTCCCTCCAAAAACAACAATGCTGGCAAGCATTGTTTGTCTAAGTGTCATAGGACAATCAGTACATGAACATATCGTATGGATACCCATTCACTTTCCATGCTTTCGATCTTGCAAGAAATTCTCAAGGAGATCACAAAGAGAGCGTATAGATCATGAACATATTCATACAAAAGAACATCACCAGCACCGAAAAGAACACAACTGTACATTGTACCTTGAGTTGACCTGTTTCCGATGGGAAAAAAAATTTAGGTCAACCAAAAAATGGATGGTCGATATCAATGGGGAGATCCATAATATCTGTACACGGATCAAAGAATATTGATTGGCCTATATGTATAAAGTTAACAGTTGAAACCAAATGAAGTTTTGAGATATATAATTCATTACAAATAATTACAAATCATTGAAGCCTACATCCTTGCTCGTCTGCCTTCATATAGAGGAGGGCTCTTCTTAATCTCTGCAGATAAAGCGGAAAGATAAAATCAATTAGCAAAAACTTCCACCATTGATTTGCACATTCCAATAAAATCTAATTCTAGAAGATTGTGACAAAATTAGACTCGACACATGACACACATATATCTTACTGGCAACCTTTTAACACAATAGGTTGAGAGGCTATAAGAGGAAAAAAAAATTCCAAATAAAGAACTTCCAATCAATTGGTTAGGCCTCTTAAAACGGTGAAGAGGTGACACAAAAGGTATGATTTTGACAGAGAATCCCAGCGAATACATCAAGATGAGAAGTATCAGCTGTATGTAGTTATTCAATGCTATAACTAACCAAGAAAAGTAGTTTGTCTTTTGAAACAAGGAAAAACGAAAAACCGACCCATCATTTGGAAAACAATCGGTCATGTGCATTTCTATTCAAGAATGAAAATGCAGCAGGCTCTGCCACAAACGAAATTTCAAGCACAAATACCTCTTTCGTATCTCGTAAGCGCAGAAGCTCCAACCTCTCTGATGGTCTTCTGTTAGTCAGCGTAGCCAGCTGCACCAAAACCTAGAAACTTTAAAACTAAACTACACATGATGTTAATCATCTTGAATTTTAATTTTTAACTGAAGGCATACCCAGAAACTGAAACGCTCTGGATCCTGTGTCGATGGTATCAATCCTTCTATTTTGAAAAGTTCAGCAAGTCTTAATCTATCTGTGCATATAAAAAAAAGTCAATATCACAACATCAAGGAAACAACAAGATGAAGTAAACCATCATAAAGCACTACATCTAGAGATTATATAGATGTATGCAGCAAGAAACATGGTAGAGAGAATTTCTCCACTCCCGCTTTACCTCCTCGAGCTGCTTCTTGTGCTGCTCTCAACCATTGCCTAGCATATGCGGCAGTCCTAGTGACCATTTCCTGCAACTGTCAACAAGGCAAATCAGTACAAGTATACCCAAGAGCACAAATTCTACCAAGTCCCAAGAGAAAACTTGGGTCATAAAACAGATAATGCATTATATTAGAAATATAGCAGGATATTTTCAAAATATCTTTAGCTCAAGGAGAAACATGGTAGAAGAAATAAGGGGCTTCATTAATTCACCCCTGCTAATGATTAAGTATATCATTCAATATACTTGAGATATCTATACATGACCCATGTTCTTCATAAGTAGCTATAACTACAACGCACAGGTTCTGAATGTTTAACTACCGAACCAAATGAGTGAACCCTCACTTTTCTTGCTCTGTAACTTATCTGAAATGTCTTGCTCATTTAAAGTGATAGGAACATGAGTTCTGTAATCTACATATCAGACTATGTTTACCATCTTACAAAAGGCTTACATCATTTCTCTCCTGTGTCCCTTCTGGTGGATATGAGTCCTGAACCCATTCAACTTCGCCGACACGATACCTTCATAAAATAATAATGTTTGGACAAAAATGCATTGCATGAGCTAAAGGCAAATAATGCAGAAATCTGACAACCCGCATCAGTTATAACAAATGCTTGATTCAAACTCACCCATCTTGGTCCCAGTTGCGAGTGATGCGACATCTTCGACGACTTTCAACCTACACAAATTTCTCATCATCAATTCACAGATAGTGAATATGAGAAAGCATTCACCCAGTGGGGTGGTGGTGGGGGTGGACCATAGAGCCAAAAAAGAATGAGGAACATCAAACTGGTAAAGCATTTTCTCCTGCTGCTTCAGCTTGAAGTCGATGCATCATTGCATTAATCATACTTCTACCACTATCTAAATGGATTATTGCCAAGCTGATTCGTTACTAATAACATGTAGGATAATGACAACAACGGAGGAACTGTTTAATTTGACACAAGCCAAAAACTAGTAGACTGCAAACTAAGAAAAAAACTTTCCTTTTGTATGTTTCTTGATCAGATTTTAAAAGAAGAATTCTCAGCATTTTAAAATGTCTAAGCTATGTGTTCATAAGTCAATCTCAACAACAGGGTTCTCTAACCACTAGCTTACCTCACAACTGTAATTTAGTTGTTATCAACCACATTTTATGTGGCATAACTTAAGCTGAACAAGTTATACAGTAGAAACTTTGTCTAAACTGGTTCTTAAAAATACATGAGCAAAGTGACTTCACTTAACTAACAAGGATATGAGGGGTCCTCATGCAAATTTTGAACATAAAAAAATGCATTTCCGGCCACACATGAAAACAATAAGCCAGAACAAGTTTTGCAAATACTTGTCTATCGTCGTGTTTTCTTCATAGGACTTAAGCACTTCCAGATAATAACACACCAAAGTCAATTCAAAAGCTGGCCGTGCTTATCTGAGAAGTTCAAAGTCATGAAGGGGTTTTCGATATTTTCATACATTTTTTACTCTGACGATGGGGGAAAGAAAAATACAGAACAGAAAATTCTGAGATTAAATCGTCTTATTTTAGCCTGACAGCTTGACATTAAAGCTTTTGGTGAAGTGCAAAATTTTAAAGATATATAGTGAAGTGCAAGATTTTAAAGATATATAGAGAAGTGCAAGATTTTAAAGATATCAAACCGGACAGGCAGCTAATAAAAGTACAAATATGGAAAAAAAAAGAAAAAGTAAAATAAAAATATAAGCATTGTGTTAAGCAAAGCAATTAGATCGAGGAGCTAGATCAGGAAAAGACAAAACACTGTTAACCAAGGCAAGTCATAAATTTTTTACCTCAAGAAAAAATCTTCCATCCGGAAGTGGCTCACAGCTGCATCAGAGTAAACAATGTCTAGGTCATTACAGCAAAAGTTCTTCACCACGGCAGTAAACAAGCTAGTAAAATGATAGGAAAATTTACTCAGTGATCTCGACTTCACAGCCATAGTCAGCTATGGAACCAGTCATTGAATCAATGATGACCTGCATCATTGAAGAAGAAATTAAAAAACAAACTATAATAAGGGAAAGAGCTAAACCCATCCAAAAACAACGAAAAAGAGAAACGAACAAGGATAAAAAAAAGTATTTCAGATATTATACCATTCCCATTCGACGGTTTCCTTCCATAATCCTCCTCACCTATTCAAAGAATTGAGTAGAAGAAAGTGTTTAAAATAGCACATGGCTTCATAGTACTGAAATCATTTTGCAAAACATTCTTATAATTGAACCAGCTTACCATGAGTCTATAACGAGGTTCAAATATATTCAACTGAAACTTCTGACAAGGTAAAATAACATCCATGACAAACAATGGTAACAAATCCACACCAGGGTTTGTCAAATTCTCATGTTCAGACATTCTTTCAGCATACTCTTCGGGAAAATTCTTCTGGATTATGCTTTTCAATGTAACACTACAAAAAAATGAAGGAATTCATCATTTCTCTTCCTAAATGTAAAGTATATTTATGAAATCCATAAAAGAGTCGGTAAAAGAAAATAGCAGTACACTATTAGAAGACAACATTTGATTCCTAGCATGGGGAAAAAGATAGTAAGCACTCAAAGTAATTTACAGAATCTTGTGGCTCAACAACAAATATTACAAACAAACAACATCCAACCCGACACCTTTACCCACCCACGTTTTTCCTCCGGAGTAATTAAAAAATAGAAAATCCCCCACTATCTATGCACTGAAACATCTTTACATAAAGATTATAAAGTATCTCAATATCAGGCAATATGAGTAACCCAGATTATTGTCTCTCAATGTTTATAACAGCATGATTCCTTTTTAGCTCAATTATTTAATCATATGATGTTCCTTCTTTGCAGCTCGCAATCTATTATTTTGACTTAGAATGGAGAACAAACAACCAGAAAAACTCAACAGCATGGCTACATTTCCTTTGAATAAGGTTATAGAGCATGTCCTCAACCAACTAACCAATACAGAATGCAAATTGCGAGTCAGTAAGAAAGCACAGTAAGGTAATCAATTTTTGCAACTACAAACACTGACCTGATTGCGCACGTTCTAGGACTGATGAAAAGAACTGTTCTGCACAGTGGGCACCTGTTACCTAGCGCACAAGAATTTAGACAGTAAATAAAGAAGAACATCAAAGAAATTTACATCAACGTCATAAGCATGAGACAAATTCTAGTTAAAAATAATATAAGAGGAAAGATATAAATGATGAACATCATTAAAACTTACTTCGATCCATTGACTGGAACAAGCAAGAGCGGCAAAAAGAGTGGCCGCAAGGGGTTGTGACAGGCTCATATAATAACTTCAAACAAAGAGTACAATCAAAGTCATCAGTTCGCAATGTTTTTCCAAGGTTTCTCCTTCCAGTCAGCGCAGCAGTTGATCTCTCCAGATTGAGAAGAAGATCGCTGCAGTTCACAGAAAAATGAATTTTAAACTACTCAGCGATGTACTAGAGTCCAGCAACCGCAGAGCTGGATATGTCCTTTAGTTACAAAAATAACAGAAGTGAAGAGATAAAAATTCAGTCACCTGGAAGAATCAATTTGAAGGCCTGAAATGATAACATCCCGGGCAAGGTCATACTTTTCTAACTGCCAAGTGAGAATCAAGAACATTTCACCATGGGTCTACTATGTAAAGTCGTAAACTAGAAAGAGAAATAGGAGAGTGGGGCAAGGGGCAGGAGAATGTGGCAGGAAGTTAATGTCACTGCCTTGCAGTTCACCAAAAAGCCCAAAAAGAAAAGAAAAAAACAAAAAAAAAAGGAACAAAAATAATGCGCTCCTGTGCATGCTTAATAAATTAACATAAAAACCATTGCTCACCAAAATGAGTGCGTTTGCCTTCAAAATATATGATTTTGCTAAATTAGTTCTTAGGCTCATCACCTTCTCAGCATCTTTTAGTGCAAGCTGCAGTAAATAATCAGAAAACATTAGCTAGTTACTCGGGAAAAAGTAAATCCAGGTACAGAAAATCAAAGCCATACCCCAGCATGTGTTGTAGGATCCAACCCACTTATTGGCCGATATTCTGAAATGGATGGAGGTCTGTTTTTCAAGAACTCGGCAAATCTGGTAAGATTACAAACAATTGGAAACTCGTTAAGTTTCAAAACCAGTATAAAATTAAGAGGTCAAATATCCCAAAGAATAATGTTCAGTCCATTAAAAATTATACCCACTATGGCACAAATGCTTACTTGATATAGGCAATGCATCTGTTACTAAGGATGATAGGATCACCACGTTTGATGTTGTTAGCTCTTGAATAACAGTTGATTGCCTGATCAAGGAATAAAATTAGTGCAGTGAAAAGACACAGTTCTTCGAATAAGTAATGCAAAAGTAGGAAGCCAAAAATAGCTGGTATAGCACGAAGAGCAACATATGCATCTAATTATGCTGGCTTTCAATCATAGAAGCGACACATAAAACAACCTGAAAACACAATATCTTGACACATCAAAGGGCCCAAAAGTTTTTATCAATAATATGAAGCAGCAACTAAGACCAAGAATTTTTAATTCCGGATACCATATAAAGATATCCCAAATGTGTAGGAACCCATAAGAAAAAACCACCATTTGAACAGCATTCATGATTGCGCGTGGAGCATCATTATGCCAACAAGCACATAGGCATTCAAATAAAACTAAAAGTAAGCGTCCCTGTAGCAAAGCCATCCATTTCAAACCAGTTACATCAATGGAGGAACATTTTTGCTCTACAGAGGATAGACTGAATCAACGAATCAGCCATTCAAACCTCCATCATTCACAGATACAAAATTAGACAGAGATAGGCAGATTTCTGTATCATCCAGAAAATCACAACATTGATTAGGCAGATAGGTGATATTTCTTATTCGAAGAACAGCACAAGAAAAAAGAAAGTTTCATAATCACACATGCAGCGGTAACCACATTCGGCAAAAACATTTTATATTCTAAGAATCATTTAAGAACTTCCAATTATTCTTTTTTTTCCCCTGCAATCTTCCAGCGCGCTGCTCTAACATTTCAACTAGATATGATCAAAATCAAACTGGAAAGCAAAACATTCAAATTCAAGAAAAGAGAATCACCTCATCCATTCTGTTCTCTCGGAACGCCTTGTTTCCACTCTGAACTAAATCATGAAGATGATCTTGCATCTCCGATGACGTAGACCTGTCTGATTCATTCTCTTTCTAAAACAAACAAAACGAAACACATTCCATCAATTAATCCAAAGAACAGGAAACTCACATTGAACACATCAATTGACACAAATGCATGCAAAACAACAAAATTAATCAAGAACACGAAACGAGCACAAATAACTTCTCCAGCATTGGAAAAAAGAAACATCCAAAACCTCACCCAAGGTAACTCCTCGACGTCATCGATGCCTGCCAAGCACAATCCAGAACTGGAAGACGATTGTGCCTCTTCACCAAGCATTCTATAGAAATCAAAAAAAAAAAAAAAAAAAGGCTAGCACAGAGAGAGAATTGTGAATTTAGTTCGGTGAAGATTATCCGTTTCTGGTATCATCAAACTGATTTCTTCTTCTTCTTCTTCTTCGGTATTCAACTACGACAACTGTAGAGCTGAATTCGTCGTCGCAATTACAAGTGTACAGAGAAAGGAAAAGAAAAGCAGCCAAGTGTTGGTGTTGTGAGGCGAAACGTCGTCGTAAAAGGGTGAGACGAAGAAAAGCGGCGAAATCAAAATATCGTGTTCTTATTTGGCTCCTTTCGTAATTACATGGACCGTATTGGTTTACGTGTTTGAATTGAAACTCCTCCCCTCTTCACTTTACTTCTCGTTTCCTAAACCACGCCTTCTCTCTTACGCACCGTGTTCAGTTTTGGCGCTTTCTTTTTTAGCCATTGAAAATGAAGAGAGCTTTCGTTCTCAAAATACGCCTCAACCAGTTCTGTTTTGGATTGGAAGAAAATTAAAAACGGTCTCTCTCGCGGCGGTGATGTGGACCCCCCACCACCTTCATTGAACTGGGTTAGCTATTAGCTCAATCTTTTGTGGTTGGATGTTGAGTGATGTATTTTGAGCTCAATTTTTTTTTTAAATTTTTATATAATATAGATCAAGATATAGGAGTATTGGTCAATTAAACAATAAATGTTGAATACGAGTTTGTTACTCTATCCATGTGTCCCTATACCACCAAATAGTGAAATATATGGTTTAGTTTTTATTTTTATTTTTTTTAGTTCAATTTATATTCAAAACTTAAACGTAATACTCCTCACGTCCCACACAAGTAGTCCACATTAAGTTTTGAGTTTTGTACTATTTTTAATACATATTTAAAAACTCAATGTGGACTATTTTCTGGGACGGAGATAGTAATAATTTTAGGACAGATGTAGTTGAATATATAATAATATAACAAAAACTATAATTTTAGAAAGAAAATTAGCATTTTTGTTCTTTTTGGCTAAACAAGAAAACTATAGACGCGTTACTCTAGGTTATGAATTATCCGGGTTTTTTTACTCATGTAAGTAATTGTTTTAATTTTAGCGTTTTTAGGCAGATGTCTCTTCCGTTATACCAATTTTATTTATTTTTTTTAAAGTATGGTTTACTTAAGCACTGCCTAGGTTAAAATGTATAGTAGAACTCATTTTTGACATTATTCTTTCGTTTATCTCACACAATTAGCACAAATTAGTTGAGACAAATTCGTCTCCCTCTCTTAGTACAATTAATGGAAAAGATAATTATTTTTCGACTCAAAAAAAAAAAAGATAATTATTTTATGGACAAAGAAAGTAACATGTACAATGGGTTTTCTCTACAGCTATCTCCCCATTGTTTGGTGTTATTAATGTGGTTGTTTCATTTTCAGAAATTGTGAATTAACCCATTTTAAACTTAAAACTAATCTTTCCTCGAGTTTGATATAAATTCCTTTCGGGAGATGAAAACTAGCTTGTGGTCTGAAACTTTTGAAGGGTAAGATGCATGATTGCTTTTGCTTTGGTTGGCATATTCTTCATTTATAGAATATATAAGAGGTTTCATTTTATTTCTCATACATTTAAATTTTTTTCGTATATTACTCACTTGTTATTCGAATTCATTGTTCCGACTAATCCGGATTTGATCCGAGTAAATTTCTTTTGAGAGGTAAACTCTACTGATAAGTATTTTAATCGCAAATTTAAATTTTAAAGTAGTTTTAAATTTTATGCGACAACAGTTTTTCCTTCAAGCTATATTATTTTCCTACCCAAATTACAAAGAGAGATTTCAAAGAAACGTGACTAATTTTTAATTTCTAAACGATGCAGTACGTTGTTAAGTACTCCGACTTAACAAACCAAAACCAAAAACATATATTGCCGACTAGAACCGATAAAAACATAGGGAGAAGTAAATATACCTATCGATAGATCTCATTGCATACAGCCAAATATATCCGAACAACAACGATCACATTTGTCTTCTCCCTGCTTCGACAAATCATTTAATTTATCATTTAGCCTCAACAATTAATTTGGTAATTCTAACACCAGATTTTTGGTAATCCGACAACAAACTTAAAAACAAATATAAGATCATTCATATCCAGCTAGCTAATTAGCTAGTTTACCTTGACAACCAAATTAAAGTTTTTCAATTTAGTAAATTACATCAATTCTCCTTCCCAATTCTTCTTACATATCATTTGTTTGTGGTTATAGAATTAGTCCCGGGTTGTGATTACTTAATGCCACAATGTATTAATTTTTGTCTGACGATATAATCAAAGAGCAATGATATAGATAGTGAAAAATTAGAGTGAAATTGAATAGTGACAAATGAAAAAATAAATACACTACGCAATTACTAAAACTTCAACGGGAAAGTGGCGTTTTGTCATTATTTTTATTTATTACTTAATATACTAGTGATGTCTGGTCGCGCAATGCGCGACCCTGGCCCAATATATCTGTAGATCTTAGAAATTTTTATATCTGAAAAAAAATATTTTATATTTGGCCTGATATATTTTAAAAATATTTGAAGAATTTAGAAATGTTTCATAAGTGTGATCATAGAAATGTTTGTATTTGGCATAAAAACAAATTGTATTTGGCCTGGTACGTTTTAGAAATATTTGAAAATTTTAGAAATGTTTTATAAGTATTACTTCTTAAATATAAATAAACTTGATCAAATATATGTGAAGTAAATGCTAGACAAAAAATAAAAACATCCTAATAAGTTTAAATATTAGTAAGATGATTTATTGATGTTCTCCATTGGTTGTGCCAAATCAATACTTAGTTTTGGAGATTTATAATAGTTTTGAATTAAGTTTCCTCCAAAGGGTATACGCTTAATTGTTAGAACTATTTCTTTCAAAAGTTTATAGGTAGTAAAATATCAAAAATATGATTTTGAAACTGGTTAATTGTTGAAACTGGTTGATCACAAATATGAGAATGAAAATAATGTAAATTTGTATAGGTTTCAAGTTATAGCAAAAAAGAACTCACCTCACCATGGCAAATAACAAAAAAGAAAGCAAAAAATAACCCATTAAAAATTGAGAAATTTATTTTTTTCTGTAGGTAAAAATAATATCTAAAAACACAAATAAACGTAGAAACATCATTCCGTCCCTCTCCACCTCAAATTCATAAAAGGCTTCCCCATAAATTAGTTAGAAGAAGCGATCTGAACTATTTATATGATGAGTGACTTAAAAAGTCCAGAAACCAAATCCAAAAGAGTATAGTTTTGAAAGCCCGAACACAAAAAAAAAAACGCACTTCATTTGTAAATAAAATAAAATAATAATAATAATAATAATTGGTCAACTGGGAGTATGAAACAAAATCAAAAGCAATTAGACAAAGAAAAAACACACTTCATAACTGACCATATACGAAAAAAAAAAAAAAACCGAGACTCCATAATTAAAAAAAGAAAACCACTCTAATTGAATGAAACATAAAAAAGAAATTTAAAAAATCACACTTTGTAACAAAAACCCAATTAATTAATTCAATCCAAACAGAACTAAAATCATACAAAAATTCCAATCTAACTAACTATATAAAAAATCAAATCATATTACCTGACAACGGCTACGGTAGCTGTAACGGATGGACGCATAAAAATAATAGTAATATCACTATTCTTGAACGGGAAAAACAAAAAATAATAAAAACCAAATAAATGATCTGTGAAAATAAAATCATTCAAATTTTAATACTTGTAATGGCACCACGACAACAGCCGAAGCAAGATCAATGAGAATTTTTTTTTTCCTTTGTGTTTATATAGAGAGGTAAAGAGAATATTTTTTGAAGTCGGAATTTTATCCGATTAGGATGTAGTTGATCATCACTAATGAAAAGATTGAACTTGCTAATAGGAAAGGAGTATTATCTCACCACATATTTTTAATTAATGAGTGATGAGGAATTTATTTATTTTTTTATTGTGAAGAACGAATTGATTATGGAGTCAATTATCGTGGAGATGGGGATGAGAATTTGGGTTTTTTATGAACCCGTGGTTTTTTTAATTATTTTTTTGTTTTGGCGAAAATAGGAGGTGGAGGTGGATTTGGACTGCATTTGCCTTTTAAGTCTAGAAGAGGTATAAATAAAAATTGATTTTAAAAATATGATGTGGAAATGTCACATGGCAAATGGTGGTACTTTCTTTTAAGTGTGGTTTTTGTTATAATATAGTAAGATATATATCCTTCTTCAAGAATCGCAGACAGTGCAGCTGGCATGTAGTCAAATTTCCACGGAATTTCGATAAAAATAAAATTGAAGTAAACAACACAATTTTTTTACATGCGACTTTTAACCTTCATACCTGGAAAAGCGGCAAACCTAAGTAGAATTGTGAAGCATTCTCCAGGCATACATGCAAGCATAGACTTAGAGGCAATAAACTGCCTAAAGGATTAGACTATACAATTTGTGAGTTATATTGGTTTTAGTATAATTTACAAATTTCCGTTTCCACAATTTTCGCCCTAGTCAAATTATAAAAAATATTTCAAACTATTGTGCGTTGTTCTTTAATTGTGTTAATAAACTGAAAATAAGAATTTTGAGAATTAAGAATTGGCCGAAGGTCAGATCTTATTATGGTCTTTGAATTAAGAATCGGCCAAAGGTCAGATCTTATTATGGTCTTTCAAGATACGGCCGCCGATAATCGGCCTAAATCAAGGAGTTCTTGAAAAACCGTAGCTTTAGAGATAAAATCGAAAATAAAAGACTGAAATTTTAAAAGAAGCAATTTGATGCTAATTTGATTGTGTCCATCCTCCTACTACCGATCCCTTTAAATAGTCTTCAAATCTAAATCGATTCACAATTTTAAATCAATTAGGCTCTTCTCCAAATCGGACTCCAAGCCTTCACTAAGCTTCACGCCGTGACCCACTGCTCTACCAAGCCTTCTAAGCCCAGCTGAAA